CATTGAATGGGCGTTGAGGAAGAAAGGAGTGAATGAGAGACTTGTTAAAGCTGTGATGCAGCTGTATGAAGGAGCAAAGACAAAGGTGAGGGTTGGAAGGGGGATGTCGGACGCTTTTAGTGTTAAGGTAGGAGTGCATCAAGGATCAGTGTTATCACCGTTTCTGTTTGCAATTGTGATGGATGTTGTGTGTGGAAACATAATGGAGGGGTTGTTATTTGAGATTTTGTATGCAGATGATTTAGTCTTGATGGCTGATAGCATGGAAGAATTGCAGTTAAAATTTGACAGATGGAAAAGTGTTATTGAAAAGAAAGGGTTAAAAGTTAATATTGGTAAGACGAAGGTAATGGTGAGTGGGGAAGGTGGGGAGCGAGTGATAAGTAAAATAGACCCCTGTGGGGTATGTGATAGGAGAGTGAAGGCTAACTCAGTATTGTGTATAGGATGTCAGAAATGGGTGCATAAGAGATGTAGTGGTGTGAGGGGGGCACTGAAAAAGGTGGAAGGCACGTTCAAATGTAAGAAATGTGTTCATGGTGTGATTAATAGGACGGACGCAAGGACGGGGTTGAGTGGTGGTATTGAAAGAGTGGAAAGCTTTGTTTACTTAGGGGATAAGCTGAATGCGGATTGAGGATGCTTGAGCGCAGTTACGGCTAGAGTTCGTGTGGGATGGATGAAATTTAGGGAACTGGGTGGGGTATTGTGTGGAAAGAAATGGTCAGTGAAGATGAAAGGGAGGGTATATAAAGCATGTGTGAGAGCAGCGATGGTATATGGTGGTGAAACTTGGGTGTTGAGGAGAGAGGAGGAAAGTGTACTGCAGAGGGCTGAAAGAGCTATGGTGAGGATGATGTGTGGGGTTAAAGTGAAGGATAGGAGGAGTAGTACAGAGCTGATGTCAATGATGGGACTGAATGAGGACATTGTGACATTGATAAGGAGATCGAGATTGCGGTGGTATGGACATGTGTTGAGAAGGGATGAAAGGGTCGGGATTAGTAAGGAGTGGTAGGAAGGGGTCGTCCGCAATTGGGATGGAGAGAGCAGGTGGAGAAGGACAGGGTGAAAGCGGGGTTGCGTGATACTGAGGCGAGTGACAGATGTGGATGGCGTCGAGGGGTATTTCGGTTTCATCATAGGTAGCCAAACGGCAACCCCCGATCTCGGGGAAAATGCCGTCTAAACGTGTGTTGTTGTTGTTGACCACTTCTATGCTTTAACATAATAATGACGTGATATAAAAGAGAGACTATACGTAAGTGCCCTGGTGCATTTCTGGGGTCCTGTCGATAGTTTCAAGTCAGAACTGCGAGACGAAACTGGGAAGTAGTGCTATATTTTAAGAAACGTGGAAGAATCTGTGGAAGGATTCACAACCAAGCAGCTACCTGGCTGTTTGAGAGTAGGACAGGATCATCGGCGTCCAGCTACAGGCGACCTGTGAGAGAGAGCTGAGCTTCGAAAGCAGTCGATAGATGATCTAATTCCAGCATGATCGATCGCGACGGGAGATTACAAGAACCCTCAGACAACGACAACCGCTGCTCGTTGATCACATTCATTGAACCTCCGCTGCAATTTGTGTGGCGCGTTAGCATGATCGCCTGGTGGTTCAGAGGCGTTAGTTATCAGTTTATTACTGAGGAAGGATGTTTTATTGAATTACTTTATCACAAATTTGGCTCCTTGAAATACTTAATTATATTTTGGCACCGTGGATGTTGTGTGGGTTTGTGAGTTTAGTTGAGCCTCGTCGGCATTAGTGATTGTCTGCATATTTATATATCCCATTATTAATGTTGTTATTACATTAATGATGGCCAAAATTTGAAGCGCCTTATGTGAACAACTTGCCGAGAAACAATGAAGCTCAGTGGGTAATTATATTTATATAGCAGAATGTGCGTGCGAGTGCATATGTGTGTGCATGTGTATGTGACCTGTGAAATTTTTTAATATCGCATGTTAAAAGAACATCAATATTCCCTTCATTCCATTGCCATCAATTCAACGCTTTATCGAATCTCTCTCCCTTCTCTTTCTCTCCAATATCTCTTCTTATATCTTTTAGTCGGTTAATTTATTTATTGTTTATTTATCTGCTTTCTCAAACGTATGTAAAATGTGAAGTGAATGTTTTCTATGTCTACGCTGTATATTATATTCATATTTATTGTGTGTGTGTGTGGTGTGTGTGTGTAATGAGTTTTATGTGTTTGATGTTGGTATTTGTGATGTGAATGTGCCTTTGCCTGTTACAATGTGCGTGTTTGAATATCTTGCATGCATGTATGTTCATTTTGTACGATTCTACACACGTATGCATATGTGTCTGTGAATTTGCGTGTGTGTGTTTGAGTGAGTTTGTGTGTGTGTGACTGAGTTTGTGAGTGCATGTGTGTGTAGGTATGTGTGTGTGTGTGTGTGTGTGTGTGTGTGTGTGTGTGTGTGTGTGTGTGTGGAAATATTGTGTTTGTGTGTTTGTCATCACGCAATTGAAATATGCTGAGCTTTTGAAATGATGACTAAGAATGTTACAATGGCAGTTCATTGGTAATTCATAGCAATAATGATGATGATGATAATAATAATAATAACCATTATTATAACTATAATAATAATTATTATTATCATTATTATGATAGTAATAACAATAAATTTAATAATAATAATGTGCGTAATGTAATGTAATTTAATAAAAGTAATAATAATTATAACAATAATTATTATTTTATAGTAATAATAATTATTATTATTATTACCAGTCGTAGTGATATCTTTCATGTATTAGTAGTAGAAGTAGCAGTAGTGACGCGTGTGCTTATGCACTGGGGTTTGATTCATGTCACTAAATTAATTTGAAGTTTTGCATTCATGTTTTTATGATTCATTATGACGTCGTTACGATTATCATCATCATCATTGTCGTTATCATCACCATTGTTATTGTCATCATCATCATCATTGTCATCATCATTATCATCCTCCTCATCATCATCATCATTCTCATCGTTATTCAATTAAATGTTTCTGTTACTTAGTGGTGAACATCTCCATTGTAATCCTCCTTGATGGATTGACGCTAATAACACAATGAATAAATAACAGAACGAATGAGTGAGTGATTGAATAAATGAATGAGTGAGTGATAAATGAATAGAGATGATTGATTGAATGGATGATTGATTGGATGATGATTAAATGTTTGAATGAATGCATGAATGATTAATTTGTTAAATGAATGAAAAAATTATTGAATGCATGAATGAATGAATAATGAATAAATGAATGATTTAATAATGAAATTAATGATTTAATTAATGATTGGTTGGTCGGTTGGTTTGGTTGGTTGGTCGGTTGGTTGGTTGGTTTGGTTGGTTGGTCGGTCGGTTGGTTTGGTTGGTTGTTTGGTTGGCTGGCTGGTGGTTGGTTTGGTTGGTTGGTTGGCTGGCTGGTGGTTGATTTGGTTGGTTGGTTGGTCGGTTGGTTGGTTGCATTAATACAATATTGCACCAAACTGTGCCACTTATACTGATGTCTTCTTTTATGCAACAATTAAAAACATTCTTCAACATGAACTCATCAGACTTGTGTGTGCATTTGTTCATCATTGCTCACACGTACAATATGGAAGAGAAAAAGAGCGAGAGGATTTAATGTAAAAGAAAGAGAAAAGGAGAGAGAGAGAAAGAGAGAGAGGTGAGAGGTTGTACTAGAGGTTTTCAAATTTCAACGGCTTGTTGAAGTGGGTGAGTATCTTTTGTTGGATGTCAATCGGTTCCCTGCTAATTATTTACTCGCTACGTGTGCAGTGCACGCATGCTAGTATCGTGTGCGTGAAATATGTGCACGTTAGCGACAAGTTAGCTCTTGTGGTAAGTGTTATGTGGCTGGCTGGTTCAATTACTATCTGTCCGAAACCAAAAGTTGAATACCA